TACAACATCTTTAGGGTTTTTGACCATTGAATGGTTAACTCCAAACAAGCTAGTGCCTGTGTAATCTCCTTAATATCCACTCTTATCAAGCAGCTTCTCGTATTCAGCTAATTAACTCGTGCTCCATTTGTATCTCCTTGTGCTGTGTGTATCGTACAAACGCGGTAGGAATGTAGCCCTTCCTCGGTGTTTATTTGGTACTTGGAAAAGTGTCAGTTATTGTGCTTTGAGGGCCCCTGGAAGGCCCTGATTCGGTTATGTTCAATACTTGTTCCTCTGTGCTTGGAACCCGAACATCTATCGTCTACTATTTTCTTGGAACCACTCTTCTCGCCCTTTGTTGGCGTGAGTTCTTTCAGCTTCTGCTGTTACTGTAGCATTTCCCTTTAACTAATCGCATATCAGCAAATTCGTAAAAGGAGCTTCAAAGTAAGTCACAGTTTGACAAATTATTGTTACTAATGACAATTGCTATCCACCTGTAACTATCTGTTAATGACAGAAAACATCATTGCCGCTGTGCCTTTTCATCAAAAAATTGTAGAAGTGAACTTTTTTGATATCCAAAGATCGTAATTTTTCTTTTTGAATGCTCAAGTATTCCAATATGCTACCAATTAAACATGAAACCATTTCAAAATAATGCTTAACAACAAAGTTGAAATTCGATCTTCAACTGTTAATCTTCTTCTTCTTCTTCCTCGTACGTTAGGACTCAGAGTCCTGTGTTTTTCTTCAACTTCCTAGTCTTGAGATGCTGATGTCCAGCTTTCGTACCATCGCTTCGGTGGTCTTCCTGGGAGTCTTGAGCTGTTAGGTTTTTGGTCTTTGGCGATTTTTGCCATTCGGTCGTCGGCCACTCTCTCTACATGGTCTCTCCACGCTCTTCTCCTTGCTCTGGTCCATCTTACAACATCCGAAACCTTACAGGGATCTCTAATTTTCTCACTCCTCTTCATATCGTATAGTGTGTGTCCTGTTGTGGATCTTAGGACTCACAGTTCTGTTGTTCTTAGCAGGCGTTTGGTTGTTGTGTTTTCCGCTGTCGCGCACGTTTTGTGGATTCTGACTTTACTCCCTATACTCATGGGCTTGTTTCTCCAGATGATGTCTCGCAAGTACCCCGATATTAGAGCGGCTTTTGATGCTTCCCCCTTAAGATTTCTGTTACTCGTGATGTTTGCTCCAATATATTTAAAGGTCATTCGGGGCTCTTTAGATATAGTGAGTGATTGTTTGATTCACAATCAATTACTCAACTGTTAATATCTTCTAGAAGTTTTCGAAAATTTTTTTAAAATATTTTTCTCGTACTCGCCAAGTGAGCCTCCATCACCCCTTAAAAGGAATGACGCCAATTTTGAATCACCCGGTATACAATTATTGGGTAGTTCCCGATTCTTCACAACTCTCAATTTGCCTGGACGATTCACGCATTAAACCCTATGGTGTTGGGCGAAATCAGCAAGCTTCTCCTCACCTGATGTGAGTGAGATTTGGCTGGTGTCGGAACCTTTCCGAGAGTGTCCAGAGGCGCCGCTAAGAGACCCGAGCGACTTGGCGTCGGCCTCAATCAGACGGTTGGCCGCCTCCAGCTTGGCGAGCAGCTCCAACTCGTGGGGCGGCACCGGAACTTGAGGAACTTGCGGTTGGGGCGGCGGACTGTCGCTTTCCGGTCTCATGGCTGCGGGCGGCATGGCCGCAAAGGGGCGGCCATCGGGCAGTTCACCAGCCGCCAAACAGCTCAACGAGTAGCTTTCAAGGGGAGCACTGCAACAATAAAACCGCTTTTGAACATCGATTTGAACAACGATCGATCGAAAATGGGCGGAATGAAACGCACTTAATGTCGTCAATGTTGGTTGAAAGCAGGTCGTAGGGGCGCAACATTTTGCAAAGTTCCACGCATAAATGGTTCACATTTTTCGATGATTTTTACTGTTTTCAAGCAACCTTGACTGGAGGCACAACATTACTGAACCCAACATGGTTGATGTACCCATGTGGCTGGTGTGGCAACATTGACATAATTATTCTGGCAATTAATTAGCACCCGCCCGTAAATTATTCTGTAACGCTACGGCAAATAGAATTCCGCAAAAATTTAATTATGTTCAGCTTGTGAATTGGGCTAATGAAGCCCAGTTTGTTGATGTTCAATACAGTTGTAATTGATTCAGCATACACTTACAGACACTTACGGACAAAATGGACTTACAGATTACAAAATACACCTACAGACAAAATGGTCAAACAACCCCCACAACTGGACCATACCGGATCCCCTTTGCCTCACAAGACCGACAAAACACTCCTACAACACCTACAAAAGCAACTGAACTAAGGACTAAGATATGTTTGTTTTGTAAGCCAAGGATTTTTATTTTTTATTTTTTTATAGCTGATTAATTTATACCAGTGTTAGGAATGGAAATTAATTTTAGAATAAGTTAGGCTAAGACATATGTACTAAACAAGGGCAGAAAGACCGATTGGGTCGATAGCCTTTTTCTGTAGGAAATACAGATTATTTATATATATATATATATCATTCAGCTACTGGCGATTTGGCTGCATAAAAAGCTTCTTGACTTCCCAAATTCACTCAAAGATGCCAATAAATGTATCCCTTGATGAAATGAAATTGAAATCGTATGTTAAAGTTCAACATCTGAGGGCTTTTTTTGAAGAAAATGTATCTAAAAGTTCCTTCGTTCTTTCGCCCTTTGGTTCCGCGTGTATTTTGCCTTTGAGTAACTCTCGGTAATGTTCAAATTTTTTCTTTATTTCAGTCTTTTATTCGTATAAATGTTTAAACAATCGCTTCATATTGTTGGTTAATTTATTGGTCCTCTTTACTTGYAGAGCTCGCACTTGGAAAATCACCCTCTGGATGTTTCTGTGCGAATTTTCTACTTGAAGTACCTGMATGSCTTGTTTTTGCCCTGTAAAAGTTTCAAGTAGCCCGTTGGTCCMRKTAGGAAAWWAAWWTTTTTTTTAGAGAACCGCTCATGTGGCTAAATTTTGGYSATTTKTGGGCGCTTCTCAAAAATAWGTCTCTTGGTAGATTTGCACGAATTTTCTACTGGAAGTACCTGAATGCCTTGTTTTTGCGCTGTAAAAGATTCAAGTTGATCATCAATCTAGACGGGAAATTTTGATTTTTTTAGAAAGAGCCTCATGTGCCTAAATTTTAATAATTTTTGGGCGCATCTGAAAAATAAGTCTCTTGGTAGATTTGCACGAATTTTCTACTGGAAGTACCTAAATGCCTTGTTTTTGCCCTGTAAAAGTTTCAAGTAGCCCGTTGGTCCAGYTAGGAAAWWAATTTTTTTTTTTAGAGAACSRCTCATGTSWCTAAATTATGGYSATTTTTGGGCGCTTCTCAAAAATAAGTCTCTKGGTASATTTGYMCGAATTTTCTAYTYGAAGTACCTGAATRYCTTGTTTTTGCCCWGTRAAARTTTCAAGTAGCCCGTTGGTYCAGTTAGGAAARYWWCAATTTTTTTTAGAGAACCGCTSATGTGKCTAMATTATGGYSATTTTTGGGCGCTTCTCAAAAATAAGTCTCTTGGTAKATTTGCACGAATTTTCTACTYGAAGTACCYSAATGCCTTGTTTTGGCCCTGTAAAAGTTTCAAGTTGCCCAGCAATTTAGATGGGAAATTTTGATTTTTTTAGAAAGCGCCTCATGTGACTAAATTTTAATCATTTTTGGGCGCATCTGAAAAATAAGTCTCTTGGTAGATTTGCACGAATTTTCTACTCGAAGTACCTGTTTTGGACATGTAAAAATTTCAAGTTGCTCCTCATCAATCTAGTTGGWAAAKTTTGATTTTTTTTARAAAGCGCCCCATTGTGACTAAATTTTGTTAATTTTTGGGCGCTTCTCAGAGCATATCGGACCACTAAAGTCCAAAAAACAGGACGTAATAATGCTGTGAAAGTTAGTGACACAAAGACGCAATTCCCCCAACCGAAATATCAGTGTTAAAGCGAATAAGTGAAATTGAGGATCTCGTTTTCCCAGACAAGTCATTCGGAATTCCATTTCTAGGCTGGAGTTTTCACGGCGCGTAACACAACTGGATAACGTCGTTCCATTTTCTCTTGATTTCCTCCATTATACGCACTATAAAGGACCACTCGACATAATAAAAAATATATAAATTGCGCATTTTGCCTGGTTATGACATTAAAAGGAGCATTTCAAGTTTATTCATTGAAAATTATCCGGCGGCTCAACGTTTTTAGCCCCTAAAACAAATCACACAGACATCTAAATCTAGATATAGATTCTAAGTAGGCGCAACTTCCAGATACACTATCGCATTTCAAGGCAGGGCCAACAGCAACAAACTGGCAGCTTCTATTTACGGAACATCGTTTTAAAAGCCCCCGGATCTTGAATATCACGAAAATAGATTGTTTTTGCTTCTTTTTCCTGAATCCGTTAAGCAGGAACGGATTGCACAATGAATGTTTACAAAAAACAGTTCGCTGGCCTTTCATTTGCTCATTTGATTATATTAAAAAACAAGACAAATTGGAGAGGTTGGCACTTTATGCTCCGAGGTGTTTGCCTGATCACTACTGGAAAAAATTCAGCCCAGCATGCGATCGGAACACCTCTGAGGATGCAAGTCGCTCGTGCTTGCGAAACGTTTCCTCGAAAGCCTAAACAGTGACTTTCCAAAATAAAACGAATAGCTAGAAAGCAAAATTCAAGTATTGCCACTTATGAATATTTAAAGGCGTCATAAATCATCCTCCCTAGACCGCCAATGATGCATCGTCTGAATATTGAATTATGCTCTACACGTTCTGCATATAAACAATCCCAAGGGATTGAAAGGAATACATTAACAGAACATCCAGAGTTCGGGCAAATGTAGTCAACAGACTGGCGGAAAGTACAAAAAGTCCTTTAAAAACCCGTTAAGCTCAAACTCTGATGCTTCAAAAACTTCACCTCCTTTATATTCCTGTCAATATTCAGTGAAGTTCTCCATTTTCCATCGGCGCTAAAAGGCAGTGATGAACCTCTCAAGAAATTAATAAAAGCTCAAGCTTAATTAAAATCTTTCAGATGTTTAAAGGGCCGAAATTGGCCACAAAAACAGTTTTATAACAAAGACAAAGCCAATGTTCCGAACCACAAAAACCATCGATCATATGCCGGATCAAATCCCCTGTTCAAGCATCACTTTTCCACTTTGATTTGCTCGCATTTCGGTCCCCAAGGAACAAACTGGAAATTTCATTTCAGAAAAGCTCAGCTAACAGAACAACGTTGGATTATGGATTTATCGCATTTTGCTGCGCCTTTTTACATACATGGCGAGAGTAACAAAATGCTGTTTAATTAGCAAATTAATTCATTAATTAAACACACCTCGCTGTTCATTGTCATAAAACTGCCAAAGGCCACATCGCAGTTTCGTTTCATTAAAACGCCTCAACAGCACATTCAATGTCGCTTTTAGGGGTTTTATTCAATTTTTTTGTGGAAAACCTGCAGGTTTAAATTGAAATCGTAAATACAATGTATCGCTGGCAGGCTTGGCCTAATTTTAGGGAAATGTCGCGAGTTTCCCCCAGGGAGAGACTGGAAAACTGCGAGTTAAATAAGAAATATTCGATGCCAGACTCTGTTCTAAATGGAAAATGGGGCACTTTGCGATCTAATAAACGTTGAAAAATGATACGCCAACAACCAAAGCACTGATCAAAATGCCCCGTTTTTGTTCAGGTTAAAGTTCGGGTTTTCCCCGGATTAATTGCTAATCCTTGCCAAATTGATTAGCACTAAGGGTCTAGTTTTAATTAAGCGAAACTTCGAAAACCCGATGTTGAACAACATTAATAAAGAACAACACGCTAGACCGTATTTTGTTGAGCAGATATTCGGGCTGTTTTTGGGCCCTGATTAATAACAGCCTAATCAAATCATCCGTTTGGGCTTTGGGTTTGTAAATGGGTGGAACATATTGCCCGGACGTTTTTGGCTTAATTCCCAAATAAAGTTACGTCGAGTAACAGATTGGATGGACATTTTTTGCCTCTAGAGCCGATTTGTTGGATAAACAATTAGGGAATATTAGAACATGAAGTTGACACAGTTTGAGCAGTTGCGGATCCATTAAATTTCAACAAAGTGAACTCCTTAATGAAAAAAGGTGATTATTCTTATGAACTATCTTCTCTTTGTAGTTGCAATTACCTTCGTACCATTTTCCACAGAATTGAATCAAACGTTTCCTCAATTTGTCCTGGTGATTTATAATTTTTTTTTTAAATATATTGTGAGGGTTAAATTTAAGGAAGAATACGATGGATGCAAAATTCAATAATTTTAATGAACGCGTTGCACCGTCACCTTCGAATCAATAATAATCCATCTCCCGTGGCAACGCCACCAGTTGTTTCTCCCACAGAATATGAAATATGCCAACTTTGCAAACATTGGGATAGAAAATGAGTGGTTTCTGTCAACTACACGCTTTTATTGAAAAAATTGTAACTTTGCATCTAAAGCCAGCAGCAAGTTAAAAATCTCACATTCTTTAGAAGACACTTGATTCTGAACAACGTGAAATTTTCACTGAAATCGCTCTAATTTCTGATTTTTGCCGACTTTGTAAACATTGGGATGGAAAATGAGTGGCGTCTATCAAGTACACGCTTTTA